TCCAGGATTTGGGATAAAGAAAATACGGTACCCTTGTATAGGTTTTTGGAATTAAGAGGGGAATTAAAAGATATTTCCAAAATATACTTCACATAATATTAGGTGGGTCTGTTTTTGTGTGAGAAAGTGATAATAGGTATATAATTGTGAGTTACCCGGAGTTGCCTTGGAGCCAGTCAATCTAAATCTAATGAAATAAATAAAGTGGCTTGTAGATGCTTGGACAATGTGTGTTTAGTAGCCAGGAAGTTTTGAAAGCTGCAATCTCTGTACCAGTTCTGCCTACTGGCATTATTCCAATAGGTGTCCAGGTCTGGTGCCCTGAATGTGTGCACATCTTGGTTGTGTTTTTGATTTGTTTTTCTTTTTTTTTTGTTTTGTTTTTTTAAAAACTGCTTTGTATTTTCTGTCACAGATTTCACTAAGATCATAATAAAATATTCAACCAGAATAGTGTTATTCTAACCTGGTAACTTTAAGATGTGTAAACATCAACTCCCCGAATTCCAGAGCCAGTATGGCTGTCTGGCTAGGGAATTCTGGAAACATGGCATGGCTGGCTTGGGAATTCTGAGAGTTGAAGTCAACACATTTTAATGTTGCAAGTTTGAGAAACACTCAAAGGAAAGTGTTTAGAGAAATCTTTAATACTAATACTATTATGCCTCATTTTTAAATGATTCCAGAGGAAACAATTTAATCTGTTTAATTTATTTAAAAGACAAAATTAAGGATCAAAGAAACATTTTATTATTTCTAAATAATACTGGATCACCACACAAACGCAGCTCTTTCACGTAACATACGAACACCAAAACGCTGCCATTCTCGTTGATAAATCCAGAGCTCCTGTGTTGTATCTAGGCAGGCAAGAACAGCACCACCTTTCCAAGCAATCAGACGTGGATCCATGTCCTAATATTAAACAGATATAAAAATATCATACGATTAAAATTTAAACATGATCTAGTTCCTTGAACTCTTACAAATACGGATAAATTCTAAAGTCTCTAAAAGAACAGATAGAACCAACTTACTTTTGGGAAACATATTTGTACTTTGCCGACTAGTCCACAGTTTGTCATTGCTTCAATTGTCTAATAGATGCCAGTGCATGATTTTTATCATAGACTAATTCAATACATATTAGTATAATGAAACTGGTGCTACAAGTAATAATTATTGACAAGTTGTATGTATAAAAGATTTTGCCAATTCCCATACAAATATACTTTTGTACATTCAACTGCCATGGGTAGGTACCGTGTTTCCCCGAAAATAAGACAGGATCTTATTTTTTTTGACCCTTCAAATAAGGGGTTGGCCTTATTTTCGGGGAGGTCTTATTATTTTTCAGGTGCAGGAAGCAGCAAGCCACCAGCCCCACCCTCTCCATCCCACCGCCTTCTTGCCTGCGGCCACAATGACCCAAGTTCTCCTTGCATCCTGGCCTTCGCCTGCCCTGCTTGCTGGCCGCAGAACAGCTAACTGTACTGCTCTGGCCTCGCCGGGGGGTGGGGGAGCTCTTCCTGGCAGAACGAATGAAAACACACACACACTCGCCCTCCAAGGCAGCCACATCCCTTCACTAACTTGCTTTCCAGCTAAACCCACTCCTTCACTAGGGCTTATTTTCAGGGGAGAGTTTATATTTTTGCCCACCGCAAAAATTTGGCATGGTCTTAGTTTCAGGACATGTTGTCTTTTTGGGGAAACACGGTAATTCTAGAAAACTCTTGAATGCTGCAACTGAGCCTTTTGGAGACATGGTCATCACAACCTATGCTCACAGCAGTACTGTGGGTGAAACATCCCTCTGAATGGAACAATTACTTTCTTCCTTCACATTTCCTACCCCTAACTGCTCTCCCTTTTGAAAACCTGCATAAATCCATACAAAGATACCTTTGGTCTTGTAATGACTTCCACATTTTCAACAACTCTCCTGAAAGAGGGAGGCATTTTGTTGAGAATTCTGTGTTGAAGAAATTCTTGAGCTTTGTGGAACATCAAGCCACCTCCAACTACAAGGATTGAACTGTACATTTTCTTTTTGGTATCATCTGATGCTAGAAAAGTACACATGAAAGAACTATAAATAAACTTTAGCAAACACATTAGAAAAATAATGATTAATACAATAATTGGAAAAGTATTAAAAGTATTTTGTACACATTGATGAAATCTACTGTGATTAGCATAAATCTTGCCTACAATAATTAGTATTGCATATCACACAAAATAATATAGTTTCTTACCACAGCAGTCAATGCTGTGCAAAATTGCTTTGTCAAGGCCCAAAGCTTTCCCTTCAAACTGAGATACAGCAGATTTTCGGGACATGTGAGTTGTTAGCATTTCTTCAGATTCATTTCCACCAATAATGCAGTCACTATGAGAACTGCCTAAATCCACTTCAGAAGGATAAATATTTTCAGCACTTGCAGATTGGCCTCGAAGATCTCCATCAAATCCACCCAGCTTGGTCATGGATTTTCGATCAGCTGTTGCTTTTGCAGACTGGAAAAAAAGGAAAATAAGATTATTTCTCAATAAAAGCAAGCACAAATCCTGCCCATAACTCAGGCTGAAGAGCACCTATTTCTCTCCCTTCAAGTTTATTTCTTAATTAGTCAGACCCAATTCTTAATGTAAAAAGTCCAAGAAACTGTATTTTCTGCTGCAATTGACTCTCCCATCCCAAACCACAGGTATCTATTCCATTGAGAACTGACAACATACAATTGAAGTATTGCTTTGTGAAGTACTTAATACTTTGCCTTTTTTTAATATATCAAGGTAGTTGACCACAAAAATCCAGAACAACATTAAAAAACCCTCAATAATTTCTCAACAATTTCACAAGCCTTTCTATTCACCAATAAGAAGTTGCTGTTGAAAATAAATGCATGAGCTGCAAATGATTACCGATGTGGCTGCTAAAAAATAAAAGAATACAGAGAAGGGCAACAAAGATGATTAGAGATCTGAAGGCTAAAACATAGGAAGAACGGTTGTAGGAATTGTGTATGTCTAGTTTAATGAAAGGAAGGCCTAGGGATGACATGATAGTAGTGTTCCAATGTCTAATGGTTGTCAACTTGTTCTCCAAAGCACCTGAAGACAGGGCAAGAAACAATGGATGGAAACTAATCAAGGAGAGAATCAGCCTAGAACCAAGGACAAATTTCCCGACAGAATAATTAATCAGTGGATTGACTTGCCTCCAGAAGTTGTGGGTGCTCCAACATTAGAAGTTTTTAAAGAGAGATTGGACAACCATTTGTCTGAAATGGGATAGGGTTTCCTGCTTGAGGGTTGGACTAGAAGACCTTCCAACTCTGTTACTCTATTCTGTTACTCTGTTATACCTTTGGAAATGAATTAGTAATTAGCATTTGCCTGGGTGGGAAGGTTTATATAGAGCATACCCGATTCAGGAATTCTGGGTATTGAAGTCCATAGGTTGTAAAGTTGCCATTGTTGCCCAACCCAGTGTTGTGAATGGTAACCCTTTTCCTCATACCTAAACAAGACTTTCCTTCCTTTTTGTTCTTTCCCTGTTCAGTTACATTTTTTCCCCATCCTTTTTCATCTAGCTATGGTACTAACAGGAGAGAGGGGGGATATGTGGCGATGTTTGGGGGGGGGGGG